ATAGGTTTAATAGTGCTATCTTTGTTTTCTTTTCTTTTATTTTGTTTTTTCTTTTATATGTTATTTTGGTTTTTTTTGTTTGTTTAGATAGATCGAATTTGAATATCAAAGTATCACTCTTTTTTTCTTTTTTGCCTTTTAAATTTGTATCTATATTTCACTTTGTAAAAAAAAAAGATGATACTAATATAGTATATGGCACCATCTAATGATCAAAAAATTTATACCTCTAGAAAATTAGAGGCCCAGTGAGAGATAAACAGCTACTAGGTGATATCATACCTAGGCTTTTAAGTCGAGTGAGTTACTTGTTGTGGTTAAAGAGAGAATAACTATAGTTAAAAATTCTTGTAATTTTTGCTTAGTTAATATCTTAATAAAATAGTAGCAGAACATGCTGAAAAAAAAAATAAAAAATAAAAAATAAATAAATATGCTAAAGCGAAATATAAATATATTAAAAGTAAGGTGAAGTATAATTGTATTAAAATATTTGGCTATTAATTATTCTTATATACGTATATTTAGATCTGTTTGTATATACATATATATGTATATCTTTCGATATAAAAAAGCCACTTATACTATTTAATCATTAAAAGAAAAGAAACAATTTTTACATACTATTAGCAAAAAAAATAGACTGCTAGATATCAATTATTAACTATGAAAATATATATCAATTGTAATTCTCCTGCTGATTTATAATGATTATAATACAAATTGATATATAACCAAAATGAATAGTAATCAATATATAACCAAATAAATAAAAATTGATATGTATTTAAAACAAAAAAAATCGATATATAGCTTCAAAACGATATAAATTAATTATAATAAATAATATATATCAATATAAATCAATATATGGGAGTAAGTCAGTAAAAAAGAGACAAATTTTTTTAAGTAAAAGTTTTCTTGACTTTAATAGACGATTCATCTATCATCTGAAGAGGATCTGCAAATTTTATAAGTAAATTTTACTATTAAGCCAAATGTAGAGAGATTTCTTCTAAAACTTTTTTTCTTACTAAGTAAATCACTCTTAGGCTTTTAACAAAAGTTGTAAAGCTTATCAAGACACATTTAATAATAATAAAAATGCTAAAATTAGCCTAGTAGTTCTAAAGAAATCTTTAAAAAATATTTCACTAACATATAAAATTTCTTTAAAAAAATTAATTTTTTTTAAAGAAATTTTATATGTCAATGAAATGTTTTTTAAAAATTTCTCAAAAACTACCAAGCCAATTTTAGCATTTTTACTACTATTAGATGCATCTTAATGAGCTCTACAACTTTTGTTAGAAGTCCAAGAGTGATTTACTTAGTAAAAAAGTTTTTTTTTTTTTTACATTTCTTTAAAAAATCTTCACATTTACTATTTGAAGATTTTATATATAATTTATATATAAATCTTGTGTAATTTGTATTACATAGCTCTCCAGATGACTGGTGAATTATCTATTAAGCTTAAATATTTTAACAACTATCTTATTAAATTTAATAAATTTTTTTATTTTAATTCTATATAATTTTAAGATTAAAATAAAAAAATTTTTAGTAAACTTGATTAAATAATTGTTAAGATATTTTAATTTAAAAATTAAAAAAATTTTACTAAAAATGATTTGTCACTTTTCTATTGACTCACCCCCATATAACTACAATAATATAAAACATTATATTTAATATTGCTGCAATTAATTTTGAAAAATATCAAACTAAAAGAACATAAAACTGAAAAGTAACAAATTTTTTATTTTGCCAATATGCAATATACAATATATATGATAAATACAATATATAAAAGTTTTATATATAATGTTTTTACAAATAAGAATACAGATATACAAAAAAAAAAGCAACACTAATAACCAACACCAAACAAGTCATTCTGTTTCTTCTGCGATAGTATCATCAAATTACTTTGGAAAAAGAATGTAGTGTTAGATTCATAACCAGAATCAAGATTAGTAGAAGTATGTTTATTATTATAAAGCCTTTGCGCAAGTTCTTTATTGACTATCATATTTGCTGACTATATATTAGAACTGCTATTATCAAGATTATTCTAAATAATAAATAAAGGTCAAATTGCTTTCTAATTATAAATTAGTTTATATCGATTCATTACAATTACTTACCAAATACTTCACTATACAATGCTCAATTTGCTTTTTGCTATATATAATATTCTTTAATCTGGGATTTAATATTATATTACATACTGTTAGTATAAAAACACAGTGATGGTTGGTGAGAACAGAAGTAGCAGTGGTGGTAAATACATTTCTTGCAATAGTAGTAATACATAGAACCCTTTTATTATTTTGTTCAAATAGCAAATAATAACAATTGCTTATTTCTATACTTTGTTTTCACATGACTACATCTGCAACTGCAATATCATTTTTTAGAATAGAGAGTTTTTCACAACCAAATATACCCCAAATTGCTAAACGAATATTTTGCAATGTTAAACTACAAAGGTTCTTTATTTTTTGTAGAAGCTATTGAAAGAATTACTATAAAAAAAAAGACAGTTTATAAAAGCTATTAAAAATATAAAGACAATAAACAAAAATAAAATCTCTTACTTAACTATACCACACACTGTGAAAACAGTTAGTAAACTTATTAATGCTTATATTCGCTATAAACTTTAGAAACTTATTATCCAGATAGTGCTTTAAGGCTATTTTTAGTTCGTCTTGGTTTGGATAGATTATTTGTAGAAAAAGGTGTTTAACAATACTAATATATACATCTTTCAAAATATAAAAAAATACCTAATGAGGATCTATTACGATCCCCTTATCTATAAAATTTCTTCACAATTTACTGACTATACATTATCTGCCTCATGGCTAACCAACCTACAATCTAAAACTAGCCAACATCTCCAAACTTCAACATCTGTACTTGCATATAT